TGTGGCCAGGCTGGAGTGCAGTGGTGCGATCTCGACTCACTGTGTTCTCCACCTCCCGGGTTCAAGAGATTCTCTTGCCTCAGCCTCCCAAGTAGCTGGGACTACAGGCACGCACCACCACACCTGGCTAATTTTTTTTTTTTTTTGTATTTTTAATAGAGATGAGGTTTCACCATCTTGACCAGGATGGTCTCAATCTCTTGACCTCGTGATCCACCCGCCTCGGTCTCCCAAAGTGCTGGGATTACAGGTGTGAGCCACTGCCCCCGGCCTCCTTTCAAGCTTTTTATCAGGGTTTCAATCTGGTGGAGTTGCAATGACCAGATTAAGCCATGAGCCTTGGGGTAGAATTGGAAACCCCTCCCCAGATCCTCTGTCCTTGCTGGAGAGGTCCATGAGAAGCAGTGTTCCACTCTGAGAGGAATGGCAGGGGACTGCAAAGGCTTATAGAACACAGGAATCCCGGTGCTCATCCCAGATGCCATTCTCTGAAGCCACATCACTATTTGTACATTTCATCACTGGGCCAAGGCTTGGGCACTGTGGGACTTCGGTGGGACTCCTAACCTGGTGGGAATCGTACCTCACACAAACACACCCTGGACTGCAGTGCAACTTCTTCTGGAGTGAGGAATTTACAGGGAACCATTTCTCTTTTTCCTGTCTTTCTCATTTGAGCTACATTCCCATAACATACAATGGACCATTACACATTGTAAAGTACACATTTGCTGGTGTTGAGGACATACACAATGCTGGGTAAACACCACACGTATCTTATTTCAAGATATTTTCTTCACTAAGAAAAGGAGCCCAGTATCCATGAAGCAGTCAGTCTCTATTTCTGGCCCCCCTGCTCAGTTCCCGGCAGCTACTAGCATGCTTCCTGTCTGTATGAGTTTACCTCTTGCGGGTGTTACACATAAACAGAATCACACAATATGTGCCATTTTGTGTCTGACGCTTTCAGTGAACACATTTCAAAGGGCGGCCATGTTGTGGCATGTGTCAGTTCTTCATCTTTTGGTCACTGACTTCTATCCGCTGTATGCAAAATCACAATCCCTTACTCTGTTTCAGCCCTTGAGCCAGTTCTGAGACTCTTCAAATCCCATTTCTCCAAAGACAGGCCAGGATCCATGTGGGCTTAGCGTTTTTATCAAATGTGAAAAACTTTTGGCCATTACATCTTCACATGTTTTTTTCCTATTATTATTCCTTCTCTGGGGACTCCAACGTTGCATAAGCCCCATGGCTTGAAGTTTTTTCATAGGTCACCATTGATTTTCCATTTTTCAAATAGTTTATTTTTCTCTCCCTGTTTTATTTTGAATGTCTCTACTGCTATATATCTTCAAGTTCACTTTTTTTTTTTCCTTTTTGAGACAAAGTCTCACTCTGTTGCCCAGGCCAGAGTGCATTAGAGGGATCTCAGCTCACCTGCAACCTCTGCCTCCCTGGTTTAAGTGATTCTCCTGCCTCAGCCTCCCACGTAGCTGGGATTACAGGTGCCTGCCACCGCGCCCGGCTCATTTTTGTAATTTTTAGTAGAGAGTGGGTTTCACCGTGTTGGCCAGGCTGGTCTCAAACTCCTGACCTCATGATCAGCCTGCCTCGGCCTCCCAAAGTGCTGAGATTACAGGCGTGAGCTACCGCCCCTGGCTAGTTCACTATTCTTTTATCTTCAGAGTCTAACCCGCCAGTAATCTCATCCAGATTTTATATATATATAACATATATATATATATAGTCTACAATAGTTTTCATCTTTGAAAGTTCCACTTACAACTCTTTATATTTTCCATTTATTTACACACCTTTTTGAAAATATAGCAAGTGGCTATAACTGTTTTAAGATGCTCTGTCTATGTTCCCAGTCAGTTTCCACGGACTGACTTTTCTCCTCATTGCGTTTTCTGTTTCTTTTCTTTATTGTACGCCTGGTAAGATTTGATTGGATGACAGATATTGTGTGTGTGTTTTTTTTCTTTTTTAGTGTTTCGGGTACTGAATATTTTAGTATTTTTATAAATACTATTGAACTTTGTTCTGGAACTCAGATAAGGTACCTGGAAATAGTTTGATCCTCTTTCGGATTGTGTTCAACAGACCAAACAAGAGCTGTGTTTAAGCTAGAAGGAATTATTCCTTAATGCTGGGGCAGCACCCTTTTGTATACCCTGTATATCATGCCCATGTTCCATGGAAACCCTCCAGTGAGGTTTTAATATGCCTAGTGGGAACAGACCCTATTCCCAGCCTTGTGTAAACCCTAGACACTCTTCTATCTAATCCTATTGAGTGATTCTTTCCCCAGTCTAAGATAATTTTCTGTCATGCGTGTCTTGATCTGAGCACATGACACTCACTGGGACCCTCTGAAGGTCTCCACATTCTTCCTGTGCAGCTCTCGTCTCTCTAAGACTGTCCTGGGAACTCCAGCTGCCTTGCTCTCCCTGGATTTTCTGTTTCATATCACCAACTCAGGAATTTTATCACTGTCCCCATTTCTGTGTTACAACCTAGGAGTTCTCTCCAGGTGGTAATCTGAGACAGATTTAGGACTTAGCTCGTTTGGTTTTGTTTCTCACGAATCACTGTCTTTTGTTACTCAAGGTGCCGTGGCCCCAGATATCATTGTATTTAAGATCCAGAAGTGCTTCAGCAGGTGTGAGCCACTGGCCCAGTCCCGTCCTTAGGGTTTGGATATTTTGGGTTTGACTCAGCTAGCCAAGGCCCCAAAATGCAGCCAGGAGGCAAGCCTCAGAGAGAACAAAGCACCATTCAGAGTGGTAGAACCTTAGAGACAAATGTGACCATCTCAAGGGGTTCTGCAAGACAGTTTGGGGCCCATGCTATCTGATTTGTCTTCTGGTCATTTCTAATAATTACTTAAATATTAACATCAAATTTATGCTCTTTCCCCTGGGTAGTAGGAAAAATAACAGAGTCTGACAATACTTGCTGAGGGTAAATGGGGCCATCACTCTGGAAAGAATGTGTTCTCATCTAGCTTATTTCCATCTTGACATGGCCCATGCCCCGAAATTCCACTCTGGGGTATGTACTCTTGCCTAACTCAATCCAGGACACTAACACAACCCAGTGTTACAAGTAATTATAAGTAATGGGATGTCAAAGATGCCACTGGTTCTTGCCTGCAAGAGTTAATTATTTATCTAATAATTAAATATTTTTTTTAACACATGCAATGACGTTCAGGACAGCATTGGTCTTGGAAGCAAAATGTCTAATAAAAATATACATCATATAAGGTAAAAAGGACTAACACACTGAGGAAAATGTAGTCAGTATACTCCAATTACATCTGTCAGTAAATAAACAAGAGCTGTGTAAAATACTGTGGGCATAGCAATATAATTTCAAAAACAAAAAGACAAAAGCATATGTTCCCTTAGCTCTTCATTTAAAACTTTATATACATGTATTTATAATTTATATATTTGTCGATATATGTTAATATTGACAAATAAAGCAAAGAATACATGAACCTGAGTTACAGAATTTTTGTTATTAAGGTGGGAAGTTCAGGGACAGGTGAGAGACAAGTCATACCTTATGAATTTCCTGGTGTCATTTTCCGTGGTGATTTTTTTTTTTTCCTGGGGGTCAGAGTCTCGCTCTGTTGCCCAGGCTGGAGTGCAATGGCATGATCTCGGCTCACTGCAACCTCTGCTTCCCGGGTTCAAGTAATATTCCTGCCTCAGCCTCCTGAGTAGCTAGGATTACAAGCGCCCGCCACCACACCCGAGTAATTTTTGTATTTTTAGTAGAGATGGGATTTCACCATGTTGACCAGACTGGTCTCTTGGCCAGGCTGGCCTCCAACTCCTGACCTCGTGATCCGCCTGCCTTGGCCTCCCAAAGTGCTGGGATTACAGACGTGAGCCACCGCACCTGGCCCTCCATGGTGATTTCACAGGGTCTTTTCTTGATAAAATCTGGTTAATTTTTTAAATAATATACATTGGCATGTGGAAAGAATGTTGAGCATTACATACACATAGATATTATTTGTATTTTATATATGTATGTGTATATGAACATACTCTTGGACTTGTCAGAAGACAAAGACAGACATCTGAGCCTTATGAGTCAAAGAAGGATTTCAAGGTTGGGTGCGGTGGCTCATGCCTGTAATCCCAGCACTTTGGGAGGTTGAGGAGGGCGAATCACGAGGTCAGGAGTTTGAGACCACCCTGGCCGACATGGTGAAACCCCGTCTCTACTAAAGATACAAAAAATTACCTGGGTGTGGTAGTGCACGCCTGTAATCCCAGCTACGCAGGAGGCTGGGGCAGGAGAATTGCTTGAACCCGGGAGGCGGAGGTTGCTGAGATCACGCCATTGCACTCCAGCCTGGGCGACAGGGTGAGACTCCGTCTAAAAAAAAAAAAAAAAAAAAAAAAGAAGACGGATTTTAGATAAAACTCCAAACCCAGAGCATGCTGAATTTTGTTAATAATGCAGAATCAATGTTTTTGTTGTGGTAAACTTGTTGAAGCTTGACAGGAAAATTTCAGAAACTGAAAACAGTTCCCAATTTGCAATTAATTTTCAGTTTTGAAAAATAACAGCATAAGCATTTCCTTTTTTGTCCTACAACCGTTTTACAACATTATCCATGCACGCTTGTTAATTTGACGGGAATATTGCATAATATAAATGGAATCACACGTAGTTCTCAAAAAAAAGGCAGTAAGACATTAGAATAGGTAGGAACATAGAAATTTGGATATTCAGGACTGGTCAATGATGGGGTTCAGGTCTGGCCTTTGCTGGGGGCTGTGTTGAACCAAAAATATTGTTTGAACGTTTTTCACGGCACCCACTCTATTTAGGGCAAGAGCGGGTCATCTTCCTGTGTGGCGGAAAACCTTCAAACTCTGCAAACCATGAAACCGGGGCCATGGTAACCATATCCTGTTTGTTTTCCAATTTAGCTCGACCCCTGTGTCCTGCCCAACAGACGTGGCGCCATGGCCCCCAAACTCATCACCCTCCTGTGTCTAGGTAAGTCCTGGAAGAGAAAGGAGGGCAGGGTCAGGAAGAAATCGTGCTCTCTGGAAGACCTCTCCTCTCCTCCACCCAGGCTGCGGGTGAGAGCCTGTGGGGAGCCAGGTTCACCTACCAAGTCCAGGCTGAGCTGACATGGCCAATGTCCAACACGAGGCCCGGTTACAGTGAGCGCAGAATTCACAGGGGGACAGGTCGTCTCTGATGTGGTTTTCCTTCCAGGAATCTGCCTGCCTGCCAGGATCTGCACACACGCGGGTGAGTCCTACCCCAGTCCGAGGATACTGTGTTGCCCAAACACGAAGGGTTCTCCCAGGCAGGGAGGGCAGACGTGGAATCGGGCAGAGGCAGATGATGTGGGGAGGGCTTTGCAGAGAGCCCTGGGAACACAGGAAGGGGGGACTCTGGAAACCCCAGGCTCCATTTTGTTCTAGAGACCCTTTGTAGACACCCCCTTGGGCTCAGCCAGTCTCCCAAAGGAGCCTGCGATGTTCAGAATCTGGGGTGCCTGGGGATGGGTTGGAGCATCGTTTGTCGGGAGGTGAGGACCCAGTGCTGGGCTCCACGGAACTGTCTGAGCATAGGAAGGAACTCAGATTCTCCATCCACCCATGAGCTAAAAGGCTCTCCTGCTGCTGGAGCCTGAGAAGGAACTGGTCAGCAGCCAGAGCACTCGTGGACGCAGTGGCAGGTACCTGTGTAGAGAATTGTTTAAATGAGTTCATGCGTGATTTTTTTTTTTGTATTGCCAGAATCGGATAGATTTCCTCCTTCTCTCCTATTGCATAGATTGCTGTTGTTGTAGAAAAAAATTAGGAAAAACTTGGCTCAATATTTTATCATCGTGCCAACTAGAATTCCTGTTCTGGAATTGTATGTCCTTCCATGTCCACGCTGGGGTGGGCTGTGTCCCTGGCTCACTACCAGGTATCCCAGGGCATCAGGTGACCCCACCCGTTACAGGGCAAACCAGAACAATGAAAAGAAAGCAATGCCCCCAAGGACAGTGGGAGACGGGGGGCTCCACATTTCCCCCTAGGCTGTGCCTCCTTCTCTTCCAGGTGGTTATGACAAGTTCTCCCTGTCAGCCTGGCCGAGCCCCGTGGTTCCCCTAGGAGGACGTGTGACTCTCTCCTGTCATTCCCATCTTCAGTTTGTCATATTTACAATATTCAAAAGATCTGGGACCCGGGACCATGTGTTGCACACCGGCCTTTCCAACAACATCACCATCGGCCCTGTGACCCCAGGACACGCAGGGACCTACAGATGTTCTGGATCTTACAACCACACCACAATATGGTCAGCTCACAGCAAATCCCTGAAGATTGTGGTCACAGGTAGGAGAAGTCCAGCCCGCCCCATGTCCACCAGATGGCCCTTCCCAGAGTCCACACCGAGTGAAGCCAGAGTCATTGTAGGATTGCTAGTCATGCACTAACTGTGGACACAGAAGCCGTCCTGAGAATTTAAAGAGAGGGCATTTCCTGTGAGGAATCAGGTACCCAGGTGGAAGAGGAGGAGGGAGGAAGCCGAGGCCGAGCAGCGGGAGAATCTGCCTGGGGAGTAGCAGACGCAGGGTGCTGGTATCAACTCCAGCAGGATGGGTCCAGGGAGGAGCCATGTTGCCTGACCCCAGAACCAGTGTTTCCCTCAGGGAAGTCATTACCTTGCCTTGAAGGAGCCAGAGGCTTGGGGAAGTGCCACTTCCCTTGGGAGATGAGTCCAGTGACTCAGTGGGACGTGGATTGGGAAATGCACCCATTCCTCTCGTCCTCCTTCCCGGTCTCCTGACACTCATCCCTTCTCTCTCATGGATGTTACAGGGAGATAGAGAATCATCCTGTACAGTCAGGAAGGGAAAGTGTGGAGTGAGTCTCACATTCAAGGAGCTCAGAAGGAACAGAGAAGAGGTTGAGTCTTTCCACCAAGAGAGGGGGGAAGCAAGTCGGTGTGAGGTAGGGAGATCCAGGCTACGAAAGCTCCTGGAGGATCTGAGTGGAGACTAGGACTGTGAGGAGCTGCTCAGCAAAGGAGTTTACCGTGTTCTTCTGCCTAAATAGGGAAAAGGAGTTACTTCCACCCTTCCCAACAAGTAGTCACGTCTAACCTCTTGGGTTTTGGGGCAAAATCAGTTGTTTCCTTCAGTGTGAGCCTGTGAGGTTTCTTCTGATCCTCCAGAGATTCTTGTATTTTTCAACACACAGAATTGAAAAATAGTGAGGCTCATAACCTCACAGTCCCATGCCAGGGAACCTAAGTCCAGCACTGTGTTTTCTGAAGGTTCTCAAAGCACAGAGTAATTCCCATTTTCCAGGAGAGCCTCAGGTGAGACCTCACCCTGAGGTCTCAGGCGAGGGGTGAGAAAGGAGACTCATGTGAACTCCTCTGTCTCTGCTCTCAGGCTTGTTCACAAAACCCTCCATCTCAGCGCACCCAAGCTCCCTGGTGCACACAGGAGCCAGGGTGAGGCTGCGCTGTCACTCAGAACTGGCATTTGATGAATTTATCTTATACAAAGAGGGGAACACACAGCATTCCCAGCAGTATGGTAAGATGATCCAGGCTGGCCACCACTTCTCCAAGGCTGTCTTTTCCATGGGTCCTATAACGCCTGCCCACGCAGGAGCCTACAGATGCTGTGGTTCTTTCAATCGCTCCCGCTACATGTGGTCGGCTCCCAGTGACCCCCTGGATATTGTGATCACAGGTGAGTGTGGCTGGACCGTCCGTGGTCTTTTGGTGTCCTGGAAACTCCCCGAGGTGATGTGGTTGTTGATCAAACCGCCAGTAAAGGAAGAAAATGCCGGAACACAGAAACACCAAGTAACTTATTATAGCCAGGGGAGGGGATGAAGGAAAGAGGGAGAAACAGAGAACTTGTGATAGTTAAAAAGAAAACAAGTTACAACCACACCTCAATGTGGCAGAGACACTTGGTCACTGGCAGAGACAGTGACAGAGAATGTGAAACAGATACTGAGAGAGATTCGCAAACCTCGACAAGGGGCTGCTTTCCCTCAGCTCAGGCACTGAGTTGCCTTTTGGAGTTGGTTCCCCATGTGGAACCTGCAGCCCCGTTCCTCTGCCATGAGACGCAGGGACACACCACAAACTCCCACCTTCACTGCCCACCACAAACTCTCACCTTCACCACCCATCAGCGAATCTCCCTGAGGATCTGAGTGGAGATTGGGACTTTGAGGTCTTTCTCCATAAAGGAGTTTAGCATGTCCTTCTGCCCAAAGAGGAAGCAGAGGCCACTTCCAACCTCTCCTACAAGTAGTCATGTCTAGCACCTCGGGGTGTGGGACCACAGCTACTGGTTCTGCAGTGTTCGTCGGTGAGGGTATTTCAGATTCTATGGAGATTCTTTCACTTTTCAACACACAGCGTTGGGACTCTAACCTCATAGCTCCAGGTCGGGGAATCTACGTCAGCACCATGTTTCCTGAGGGTTTCCAAGCAGAGAGTTATTTTCATGTTCCAGGAGGACCCCACATCTCATATGCTGTCTGGGCACAGTAGGCCTTAAAGATACAGTCAAAAGCCAGGGAGAAGCAATGGAAAGAGGAGGGTTTAAAAAGGCACGCACACTCATCGAATCAGGATCATAGAGAGAGTACAGACTGAGACAGCACAGCAGACATAGGGAGTTTGCTCCTAACATAGGAAAATAGTTTTTTTTCCCAACACTAAAAGTAGTGTGGAGAAGGCTTTAGTTGTAAACGCCTTATGAGGACTCAGGGGGTTGTGGGTGGCCCAAGTGGACATCCAGGGACGTTAGGATGAGTTTGGCCTTCACTGCTTTGGTGACATCTTTGTCCACTATTCCTAGGCTCACACCCCCAGGATTACACAGCAGGGAATCTCATCAGGATGGGCATGGCCGTCTTTGTCCTGGTGGCCCTTGGATTCCTGCTACTGGATTCTGGCATGGTCAGAAAAAAAAAAAAAACAAAACCCAAAATGTAGGAGGAAGAGGAACATGAGAGAAAACCATGCACCATTTAGAACAATAGAGACTTGGCATCAAATCTCCTGATCCCAGAAGGCTTTGGAAGGAAATTGCCATCATATATGGGGTGAACTGTCTACTGAGAATATGGTGCAAAATAAGTAACCAAAGTCTCCTTTTCTTACAGGAAAATACAAAAAGCCCTCTCTCATTACCCGAGAGAACGCCATGGCGGGTCCGGGAGATACAGTGACGTTGTTCTGTAGCTCTAAGATCCCATTTGACAAGTATCATCTATCCAAGAAGCAGGAGGCCCGTGGTCACTGGCTCAGTGGAGGGCAGAGCCACAATGGAATATTCCAGGTCGACCTTCCTCTGTGCCTTGTGTCCCCAACCTCTGTTGGGAGCTACAGATGCTACGGTGCTTTCAATGAGTCTCCCTATGAGTGGTCAGCCCCCAGTGACACACTGCAAGTTCCTGTCACAGGTGAGGACCCCATGCCTGCTGCATGCTCTGGTACCAGCTGCACCCTGGAGCTCTATCTGAGGGGCGTCCTGCTGGAGATCAGGAGATTTGAGGGGTTCTGGACAAAATGAAGCAGTGAGAAATACAATGAGAAAAAGAGAGGCTGAGAATGACCAGTGCAATCAGGGTACAGGATTGGAGACAGGGCACCTCCACCCTCTTCTCCACATCCTATGTAGAGGCTCACTTTGGGGTCCTATGTGTTCAGGTGAATGAAGAATTGCATCAGGACAAACACAAGAGGAGGTGAGGTCAGATAAGGTTTGGGGACATCAGAGGTTGCACCAGCCCTTTGCCCGTATTCATTTTCCAGGAGGAGCCCCAGAGAGATTTCCCCTTTGGTGAATGTAGATATTTACGACCCTGTTGTAGATAAGGTCTCTTGACATCAATGGGCATCTCTGAGCCCTCTGTCGCCTTTCACGTCTAGGGGAGAAAGTCTGTTCTCGAAGGATTCTGACAAGAGACCTCAGGACCCGCACTAGTCATTCGGTGAACCACAGAGTAGGCCGTGGGCAAGAGACAGACACTCCACATAGAATGGTTCTGCTTCCGTGTGGCGAGGAACGACTCTTATACAGCCATTCTCTGTCTTTTTTCGTAGGAATCCCTGAGAGTACTTGCCCAACACCCATGGAATCAACCCCTGAAACTGGTGAGCAAAGAATTCTTCACCTAGTTTGTGAATTCCTGGGGAGACAGAAGTCTCCTTCTCCACCTGAAATCCTTTTTTTATTTTTATTTTTTTTTTTGAGACGGAGTCTCGCTCTGTCGCCCAGGCTGGAGTGCAGTGGTGCGATCTGGGGTCACTGCAACCTCTACCTCCCGGGTTCACGCCATTCTCCTGCCTCAGCCTCCCGAGTAGCTGGGACTACAGGCGCCCGCCACCAAGCCCGGCTAATTTTTTGTATTTTTCAGTAGAGACGGGGTTTCACCGTGTTAGCCAGGCTGGTCTCGATCTCCTGACCTCGTGATCTGCCCGCCTTGGCCTCCCAAAGTGCTGGGATTACAGGCGTGAGCCACCGCGCCCGGCCTCCACCTGAAATCTTTATGGAACTGGCTGTTTCCTGAGCAGCTGGAGGGGAACCTGGAATGAAGGGAGGGGGGTTCAAGTCCCCAGCACTGCGGTCATTGGTGCTGGTTGGGTGGTCGGTGAGAAAGGAAATTCTTGAAGGGAGCCAGCCGAGCTGAGGAAGGAGAGAAGAGCAAAGCCCACCTCTCGCCCCTGTCCAGGGTGCTGATCCTACTGGTTTGCAAAGAGGCAACCTAGGAACGAAAGGAATCAACCCCACTATAGGAGGAGGAGAGAGCGTCTGGGGCTCAAGATGGTTGAGGCATTCCCTGAGAATCATGAACTTTAGTTGAGGTGATCCAGACACTCTTTAGCTTGAGCACATGGACACAATTCTATCCACATTTGGGGATTCGTTCTCTTATATGTCAAAGGCAGCCTTGTATCCAGAAAACCGAAGGGATCCATCAGTGCTGAACTTCCGTGCCAGTGTCTCTCTGGGAAAGGAGGTGCAGAAATGCACCCGTCTGGGAACGTCAGTCCACTAGGGATATATCCAGTCTCTGCAAGTAACGGTGGCCATTGTGTGGAGGAGACCAAGAAAGTTTTGTCCCAATTTTCAGGAACACCATGTTCTGAGCCTGGTCCTGTCATTTTCCAAAACATCTTTTAAATGAACTCGTATACAATATTCTCTATTTTATTCCCCAAAGGGCTGGTGTTCTGGTATGACTTTTGTAAAATTGATAGAGTGTAGTATACATATATGTGTGTATATATATAAAACATATATATGTATATATATTACATAATATATGTATTTGCATTTTCTCCATATATTAATCTAAGTATTTGCTTTTATCATTTATCCTTTTCAGTTGCTTCTTGTCAGCCTCCCTATCTTGAATGCAAACTGAGTAATTGCTTATACTAATTGTAGTATTCTTGGATCCTAGAGACAAAAATGCTTAATGTGTTATAGATACTATTCCATTTATTTGATTAAAACAGGTCGATCAGGTTAATAGAATAACGAAATGGGATGGAAATACCTAATTATGAGCCAGAGATGAGGAAGTAATGTCTGGGGCAAAGCAAAGGGAGGGTAACTGGCAACTCCAGTCTGTTCTCTTGTATTTTCCTGCTATTCAGAAAACCTGTAGCTCCAAATTCTCTCCTCTGCATCTAAATTTTATGAATGGTGCAATATTGGGCATGCTTCTCTCAAGTAATTAGCTGATTTTAGAGACATATTGCATATCAGAGAATAGCATGATCACCCCTATGTTTCCTCACATTCCCCCTCTTTCTGTGGTTCTCAGGGGCAGCTCATGTCCTGAGATCATTACAGAACCCGTCAGAATGCAAGGCTGCTCAATGCAGAGATGTTCTCAGCTATGGATGAGGCTGGGAGGCTATGACCACTCAGGGGGATGTGGGTGACCGGAGTGGACATACAGGGACTTTAGGATGAGTTTGGCCTTCACACCTTTGGTGACATCTTTGTCCACTCTTCCTAGGCTCACACCCCCAGGATTACACAGCAGGGAATCTTATCAGGCTGGGCATGGCCATCTTGGTCCTAGTGGTCGTTGGAGTCCTGCTACTGGAGTCTTGCACAGTCAGAAAAAAAAACCCCAAACGCGAGAAGAAGAGGAACACAAGAGAAAACCATTCACCATTTAGAACAATAGAGGCTTGGAATCCAATCTCCTAATCTCAGAGGCTTTGGAAGGAAATTGTCAGACATTGTCATCGTATGCTGGGTGAACTGTCTGCTGAGAACATGGACTGAAAGAAATGGCCTCAGGTTTCAGATCTCTAGTTCAAAACTCTTCCTCAATTCAATTCTGATGTCTTCCCTTCCCACTGTCACTGACTTTCCTTGACTTCCCTCTCCGATTTGCTTACCCTATAAAATGAAGGTACATCACTCACGGCAGGTGTGGACCCACACAGATATAAACTCCATTCCCTGGTCTTCTTGTAATGCACTTTTATTATTATTATTATTATTTTTAGATGGAGTCTCGCTCTGTCCCCCAGGCAGGACTGCAGTGGCGTGATCTCGGCTCGCTGCAACCTCTGCCTCCCAGGTTCAAGCAATTCTCCTGCCTCAGCCTCCAAAGTAGCTAGGATTACAGGTTTGTGCCACCATGCCCGGCTAATTTTTTTGTATTTTTAGTAGAGACGGGGTTTCACCCTGTTAGCCAGGATGGTCTCAATCTCCTGATCTTGTGATCTGCCGGCCTTGGCCTCCCAAAGTGCTGGGATTCCAGGCATGAGCCACCGCACCGGGCCTCATTTTTACTAACTTTTCATTAAGATATTCCCTCATCTGTGCTACTGAGCTCTGTCTCGTCAGCTCAAGACGCAGAATATGGTTCACATGATGGAGTGAGTGAAAATAAGTTTGGAACTAAGTAGTCCATAATAATTTGCTAAAACCCTCTTGGGAATCCTCCAACTCTTCTCTCTCCATCAGCTGACCCTTGGCACAGTTTCTTCAGAAATACCGTAAATTTCTTTTTTAAAAATTATTATTATTATACTTTAAGTTCTAGGGTACATGTGCACAATGTGCAGGTTTGTGACATATGTATACATGTGCCATGTTGGTGTGCTGCACCCATTAATTCGTCATTTACATTAGGTGTATCTCCTAATGCTATCCCTCCCCCCTACGCCCACCCCACAATAGGACCCGGTGTGTGATGTTCCCCACCCTGTGTCCAAGTGTTCTCGTTGTTCAATTCCCACCTGTGAGTGAGAACATGCGGTATTTGGTTTTCTGTTCTGGTGATCGTTTGCTGAGAATGATGGTTTCCAGCTGCATCCATGTCCCTACAAAGGTCACGAACTCATCCTTTTTTATGGCTGCATAGTATTCCATGGTGTGTATATGCCACATTTTCTTAATCCAGTCTGTCACTGATGGACATTTGGGTTGATTCCAAGTCTTTGCTATTGTGAATAGTGCTGCAATAAACATATGTGTGCATGTGTCTTTATAGTAGCATGATTTATAATCCTTTGGGTATATACCCAGTAATGGGATGGCTGGGTCAAATGGTACAGAAATACCATAAATTTCAATGTCAACTTCTACTTGAGAGTATCCAGAGTGCGCTAGCAAACCAATTCTATGAAAAAAAACAACAAAAACAAAACAAAACAAAAAACATGGTGTATTAGTTCATTTTTACACTGCCATAAAGAACTACCTGAGACTGAGACTGGGTAATTTATGAAGAAGAGAGGTTTAATTGACTCACAGTTTCACAGACTTAACAGGAATGATGCCTGGGAGGCCTCAGGAAACTTACTGTCATGGCGGAAGTTGAAGGGGAAGCGGAGACCTTCTTCTCATTGTTGCAGGACAAAGAGAGAACCAGGGGAGACATGTCACACTTTCAAACCACCAGCTCTTGTGAGAACTCATGATCATGAGAACAACAAGGGAGAAATCTGCCCCCATGATCCAATCATCTCTCATCGGGCCCTCCTCAAATACATGGGAAAAATTTGAGATGAGATTTGGGAGGGGACATAGCCAAATCGTATCATTTTGCCCCTTGCCCCTCCCAAATCTCATGTCCTTCTCACATTTCAAAACCAATCATGCCTTCCCAACAGTTCCCCCAAGTCTTAGCTCATTTCAGCATGAACCAAGTCCAAAGTCTCCTCTGAGACAAGGCAAGTCTCTTCCCCATATGAGCCTCTGAAATTATAAACATGTTAGCTACTTCCAAGATACAATAGAAGTACAGACACTGGGCAAATGTTCCCATTCCAAATGGGAGAAATTGTTCAAGGCAAAGGGGCCACAGGCCATGCGGCGATGGGTTTGTAGGTGCAGCAAACCACCATGGCATATGTTTAGCTGTGTCACGAACCTGCATGTCCTGGCCATGTACCCTGGAACTTAAAATAAAACAAAATATCATTGATTATAAAAAGATATGATGATGGCCTAGGGAATCCCAGGGATACCATCTCCGAACCCCACAACCCAGAACCCCAGTGTCACTGGGTTGCTGGGACAGCACTGGCACTGCCTGCCTCAAAACTTTTTGTGAAATGAGACATTAAATGTCTTTATTATTTTAAGAAAAGGGGAGAATGACAATGATTGTAACAAATACTTTCAAGCTTTCTTGACATGTACAAATTGTACATATTTGGTGGTTGGAATATGACGTTTTGATGTATGTGAAATAATTACCACAATCGAACTAACAAAAAAGCATCTTTCCCCTCACAGGGTTATCATTTTTGTTTTCATTTTTTTTAACGTGGTGACAACATGTAAGACATACCCTCCTAGCAAATTTCATGTATGCAATACAGTCTTTTTACACTCTAGTCAGGCGGGTTTTGAGCGTGGGAAATGAGGACACATTGGCCAAAGGCTACAAAGTTTGGTTATGCAGGATGAAAATGTTCCAGAGATCTAATGTACAGTATGGTGATGATAGCTCACAGAGCTTCTGACGGAAGAGGCTATTTTGTGTGCAGATTTTGCCTTCCTCCAAGATGGCAAAACTGCAGAAGAAATTGTCCAGTGGGCAGAAGAAACTGGAGGTTTATTGGGATGTGTTGACTTCCCTCCACCAACTGAAGATAAGAGATGACCAGAATTCAAGGTGCTGCCTAATTCATGTTAGTATTGAGGAAGGAGCTCATTCCTCTTAACAATGAGGATTGATCAGAATTTAAACTGTCATGGCTACGTAAAGAAAAAGTAAAGCATAAGTATACCCTAATAAAATTTTTGTGTATAAGAAGGGGAATTATTCAGAAAGTGAAAGTGATACAAATATGAGATAGTCAAAGATAAATTTGAGGCACCTCGAGTTTATTTTAAAAATAAAATGCAATTGAGAGGCCAAGGGGAGTGGATCACCTGAGGTCAGGAGTTCGAGACCAGCCTGCCCAACATGGCGAAACCCTATCTCTACTAAAAATACAAAAACAACAAAACAAAACAAAACAAATGCCGGGTGTGGTGGTGGGCATCTGTAATCCCAGCTATTAGGGAGGCTGAGGCAGGAGAATCGCTTGAACCTGGGAGGCAGAGGTTGCAGTGAGCTGAGATCGTGCCACTGCACTCCAGCCTGGGCAACGAGAGTGAAACTTCATCTTAAAAACAAAACAGAACAAAACAAAACAAAACAAAATAAAATAAAATGCATAAAACACCAAAAACTTAAAAATGTTATATAGGTTAGAAGAGTTATTTCCTTCATTTTAATGACGTTAAAAGTAGGTAAAAACGAAAAGAAATTCGTGAATTTACAAGAAAGGTATTAAGTAAATGGAAGCACATTACAATATAGAAAAGGTAAAGTAACTGTGGCTGGAAACAGAGACAGGCATGCTTGCAGAAATTATAAAAAAAAGGATGGAAATATACACATACTTAAAAAATAATCAGCCAGGGTACAGTCACATGAAGACAGATCAAGAACGCCCAATATTTTTAAAAATTGGAATTTTTGAAAAAGAGAATGCAAAGGAGTAGATACGGTCTAGTTTGTTTGTCCAGGATCCATACTTAAAAAATTTAGGTGTGGCTTATTTCTGACCTTCTGAATTTACTCTTTTATGTGTTTTTCCAGAGGAATCCATAAGCCGGTCAGCAGATTAGGCTACAAAATCTCTTTAAATATACCTCAAGCGAATAGAATCTTCTAAATCATAATGAATGGGACATGAAACACACCACTGGCTCTTGCCTGTAAGAACCTTGTTTCTTTACCTAATTAATCAACTATTTGTATTTATTGTTTGGGTAACACTTTTGGAAAATTTGCTTGATATACCTAAAATCTACAGATGATGTGGGTCCTTCTGGAAATAATTCATGAAGGGAAATTGTTTAAAGATATACTAATTAACACGTAATGCGTCACATGCATTCAACATTTAGTTGAGTTTGTTTTAGTGAAGAGTTGTGAATTTAGGCATTAAATCCAGTAATCAAACTATGCCCCACGTCAAAATCCCAAATTAACTGCTGTAATTACTTACAGTTCTCACACAGCTTTAAAAAGCACAGAATCACATTCTTTAACATAAAATAAAAAATTTCCAATTTCACGGAACGTTTGGAAATTTACATACATTTAACCCTCACCTTCAAGGAGCCAAACTTTTAAAGTTATCAGTGTTCAAATTTTCCCTCTTCAAAGGCCGTGGCCCCTCTGCTGTTAACTGTGCTGTGTCTTGTTCCCACAGTCCAGTGTACGCTTACTTCTTAGAACTTTAATTTGTACTGTGTAAAAATTGCACTGGATTAAAAGAGTTTACTTCGCAAAGTCGTTGGCCTCCTTCCAATGTATAAACACTGCTGAGCTGTCTTCCTGGGAAGAAACCCATAAACACCGTAAAGTACATTTAGCAACGTTAAATTAACAAGTTCTTCTCATTTTTAACCAATGCATGCTTCATATTTTCAAGCGGGTATTTGTCCCGTGTGTTTGCTCGGAGGGTAACTGTCTGCTACTGAGGTCTTGAACTTTGCAAATCTCACTTCCAAGTCAATCAATTATAACACATTTTATGAAACATAGCGCAATGTTTAATAAATGGCGTCACTGATTTGTAAAAATTATTTCTCATAGGTGATACATTTGCTTACAGGTACAGATATTTATATCACAGCATTTATTCAACATATTTTTCTATTGTAGAATATACTTAAGTAAATGTTAACATCAAGTTCATCCTCTGTCATCTGTAATCAGGTATTTTCTGAGAAGTGGAAAAAACACCAGAATCTGACAACTGTTGCTGGCAGTTTTGAGGTCATCGCTCTGGAAAAAATGTGTTCTTGTCAGTTTATTTTTACCTTGACAGTCCCCATGTGTGTAGTCCCACCCTGGGGTGTGTACTCAGGGAAACTCACTCGTAAAACCCAGGACACACAGGCAAGAATGCTCTGGCCAACATTGCTCCAAAAAACAAAATGCCTGGTGAAAACATACATCGCCCAAAGGGACAAATACATTGAGGAATATGCAAGCGATTTACTGCAGTCTGTCTGTTGGTGAATAAACAAGAGCTATGCAGAGCATTAGGAGCATAGCGGTATCATTTTACAATAAAAACCACAAAACAAACTATCCTTTTGTTCTATATTTAAAATGTAAAAATGTACATACATACACACACACAAATATTACCAGATGATAGCTGTGATATGGAAGACACATATTTACAAAAATGACACAGAAAAGATCCAAAATTGTGTGTGTGTTGTTTTCATACGTTGGGAAGTTCTGGGCCAGATGAGAGACAAAGCATGAGTTGATACTATTTTTGTGAATATGCTGTTTTTTTTTCAGTGTGGATTTCACAGGGCTTTTTCTCTTGTTAATCTTACTAATTTTTTAATAATATGAATTGGCTTTTGGGGAGAACCTTCAGCATTATATACACATATGTTTGTGTTATTTACAGTTTGTATATGTATGTAAATATACACACACACACAGAGTAGAGTTTTCTGGAAGAGAAAGATAGAGATCTGTGTCTTGAACTGTGAGTCAAGGAAGGATTTCAGAGAAAACATCAAGAACGAGGATTTTCATGCTCGCTTCTGTGTTAATAATGCAAAATCAATTTTTCTTGTTAACTTCTTGAAGCATAGGAGAAAAATTGAAGAACCTGAAAATCGTTCTCAATTTGCAAGTAATTAATTTGCAACTTTGAAAATAGCAGGATAAACATTTCAGTTTTACTGTACAACCGTTTTACATTGACCATGCGTCTATTTTAATTTGGCAGGAGAACGTTGCATCACAGAAACCGAATCATGCATAGTTCTCGAAAAAGGCAATAAGATATTAAGATATCATTTTACAATTTTTCACATAGAAAAATTAAACTTGAAATTCAGACGTTATCGATTGGTCGGTGCTGAGGTTCATGGCAGGCCTTTGTTAGGGGCTCTTGAACCAAAAATACCATCTGCAAGTTTCCTGTGTCACCCGCTATGTTTAGGGTGAGAGCTGGTCATCTTCCTGTGTGGTGGTCACCCTCTAAACTCTGCATACTGAAACCGGAACCATGGTTACCACATCCTGTTCATTTTCCAATTTAGCTCAACCCCTGTGTCCTGCCCAAGAGAAGCGGTACCATGGCCCCCAAACTCATCACCCTCCTGTGTCTGGGTAAGTCCTGGAAGGGAAAAGCGGACAGGGTTGGGATGGAAAATGCTCTCTTGAAGACCTGGCCTCTCCACAACCTGGGGCTGCGGGTGGGAAGCAGGCTCATCCACCCTCTGAATCCAGGCTAAGCTGACAAACCCAGTCACAAGGAGGGCAGGATTCATGTGAAGACAAGCTATCTCTCTCTCTCTCTTTTTTTTTTTTTGCCCAGGATTCTGTCTGAACCAGAAGATCTGCACACATGTGGGTGAGTCCTATCTCAGTCCTAGGATGCTGTGTTGGCCAAACACAAATGATTCTCCAGGCAGGGAGGGAGGACACGAAGTCAGGATGATGCAGATGACATGGGGGGTGGGGGCTTTGCATTGAGCACTGGGATCACAGGAAGGGGGTCCTCTGGAGACCCCAATTTCCATTTTGTTCTAGAAACCCTCCAAGGGCAGCCCCTCGGGCTCATCCAATCTTCTGAAGGAGCCTGTGATGCTCAGAATCCGGCGTGTCTAGGGGTGGGTAGGAGTACTCTCTGTCGGGAGGCGGGGGACCCATGCCGGGCACTTGTGTTGGCAATTGTTAAATGAGTTGATATGTTTTTCGTATTGCTTGAATCTGGTAAATTTCCTCCTTCTCCTCCATGCACAGATTTCTTGTTGTAGACAAGAACTAGGAGCAACTTGGCTCAATACTGTATCATCATGCTTAGTAGAATGTTGTTCTGGGGAAACCTTCCATGTCCACTCTGGGGTGGGCTGTGTCCCTGGCTCACTACCAGGTATCCCAGGGCATCAGGGGACCCCATGTTACGTGGCAAACCAGAACAAAGTGAAGAAGGAAAAGCCCGCAAGGACAGTGGGAGACAGGGGGCTCCACGTTTCCCTCTCTAGGTTGTGCCTCCTCCTCTTCCAGGTGCTCAGGACGAATTCTCCCTGTCAGCCTGGCCGAGCCCTCGGGTTCCCCTAGGAGGACGTGTGACTCTCTCCTGTCATTCCCGTCTTCAGTTTGTCATGTTCACAATATTCCAAACAACAGGGAGCCAAATCCGTAAGTCGTACACTGGCCTTTCCAACCACGTCACCATCAACCCTGTGACCCCAGGACACGCAGGGACCTACAGATGTGCTGGAATTTACAAGCACACCTCAAAACAGTCAGCTGGGAGCAAATCCCTGAAGATCATCGTCACAGGTAGGAGAAGTCCAGCCCACCCCACATCCACCTGGTGTCCAGATGGCCCTTCCCAGAGTCCACACCCAGTGAAGCCAGAGAGTTATTGTGGGATTGCTGGTCATGCACTAACTGTGGACACAGAAGCCGTCCTGAGAATTTAAAGAGAGGGCATTTCCTGTGAGGAATCAGGTACCCAGGTGGAGGAGGAGGAGGGAGGAAGCCGAGGCCGAGCAGCGGGAGAATCTGCCTGGGGAGTAGCAGACGCAGGGTGCTGGTATCAACTCCAGCAGGATGGGTCCAGGGAGGAGCCATGTTGCCTGACCCCAGCACCAGTGTTTCCCTCAGGGAAGTCATTACCTTGCCTTGAAGGAGCCAGAGGCTTGGGGAAGTGACACTTCCCTTGGGAGATGAGTCCAGTGACTCAGTGGGACGTGGATTGGGAAACGCACCCATTCCTCTCGTCCTCCTTCCCGGTCTCCTGACACTCATCCCTTCTCTCTCATGGATGTGCAGTGTCTCACGGGGAGTTAGAGACTCATCCCGTGGAGTCGCCCCTGCTCATCCTGTAAAGCAGGGAAGGGAGGGTGTGGAGTTGTTCAGATTTTACATATGTATGTAAATATACACAAAGAGAGAGAGAGAGAGTAGAGTTTTCCGGAAGAGAAAGATAGAGATCTGTGTCTTGAACCATGAGTCAAGGAAGGATTTCAGAGAAGACATCAAGAATGAGGATTGGCACGGTCTGTTCTGTGTTAATAATGCAACATCATTTTTTGTTGTTGTTAACTTCTTGAAGCATGGGAGAAAAATTGAAGAACTTGAAAATAGTTCTCCATTTGCAAGTCATTAATTTGCAGCTTTGAAAATAACAGAGCAAACGTTTCAGTTTTACTGTATAACCACTTTACAACATTGACAATGCGTGTATTTTAATTTGGCGGTCCCACATTCGAGGAGCTCAGAAGCAACAGAGCAGAGATTGGGTCTTTCCACCAAGAAAGCAGGGAAAGCAAGTCGGTGTGAGGTAGGGAGATCCAGGCTCCTGGAGGATCTGAATGGAGACTGGAACGGTGAAGGGCTGCCCAGCAAAGGAGTTTACCATGTCCTTCTGCCCAAATAGGGAAAAGGAGTCACTGCCACCCTCCCCAATAAGTAGTCATGTATAACCTCTTGGATTTTGGGGCAAAACCAGTTGTTTCCTTCAGTGTGAGCCTGTGAGGTTCCTTCTGATCCTCCAGAGATTCTTGTATTTTTCAATATGCAGAATTGAAAAATAGCCTCACAACCTCACAGTCCCATGCCAGGAAACCTAAGTCCAGCACTGTGTTTTCTGAAGGTTCTCAAAGCACAGAGTAATTCCCATTTTCCAGGAGAACCACACATCTCCTATGGCTTCAAGCCGGACAATGGGGATCTGCGCAGAGAGAACATGCACGCACAATGCAAGCACACCAACAGGAAGGATGCCAACGGGCTTTGGGGGTGACGAGGGAGAGCTTCACCCTGAGGTCTCAGGCGAGGGGTGAGAAAAGAGACTCATGTGAACTCCTCCATCTTTGCTCTCAGGCTTGTTCACCAAACCCTCCATCTCAGCGCACCCAAGCTCCCTGGTGCACACAGGAGCCAGGGTGAGCCTGCGCTGTCGCTCACCACTGGCCTTCGATGAATTTGTCTTATACAAAGAGGAGCACACGCAGCACTCTCAGCAGCTTGACGAGGGGATGGAGGCTGGGAGCCACTACGTCCAGGCTGTCTTTTCCATGGGTCCTATAACGCCTGCCCATGCAGGAACCTACAGATGCTGTGGTTCTTTCAATCACTCCCCCTATGAGTGGTCGGCTCCCAGTGACCCCCTGGATATTGTGATCACAGGTGAGTGTGGCTGGACCGTCCGTGGTCCGTTGGGGCCCTGGGAGCTTCATGTAATGCGGTTGTTAATCAAACCTCAGTAGAGGAAGAGAAAAAAAGGAACAGAGGGACTGTGAGGAAGGGCTCAGCAAAGGGGTTTAATATGTTTTACCGCCTAAAGAGGGAGGAGGGGTCACTTCCACGCTCCCCAACAAGTCGTCACGTCTAACTCCTTGGGCTTGGGAGTACAGCCAGTCGCTCCCTGCAGGAGCCTGTGAGGTTCCTTCTGATCCTCCTGAGATTCTTATATTTTTCAACACACAATTGAAAAATAGTGAGACTCATAACCCCATAGCCCCGTGTCGGGGAACCCAAGACCAGCACTGTGTTTTCTGAAAGTTCTCAAAGCACAGAGTAATTTCCATTTTCCAGGAGAAACCTACATCTCATATGGCTTCTAGGGGCGGCAAGCCACAGGGACACAGTCACAGCGACTACATCTGGCCTCACCTCCCCCTGGGTTTGTCCTGACCTCTTTCTTCATACAGGAGGTGGCGGAGGGTGTGGAGCTGTCCCGTCTACCACCCTACACCCTGACAGCCCCATCATGCTCAGCTTCTTTTTTCCTGTGTGTATTTTTCACTGTTTCATTTTATCCAGAATACCTAATACCCCCGTGTCCCCAGCGGGACGCCCCTCAGGTGTGGCTCTGTCATCTAGTGGGCACCAAAGCGTGCAGCTGGCATGGACTCCTCACCTGTGATGCAAAAGGTACAGGGGGTCACTGGGGGCTGACCACACATAGGAAGAGTGGAGAATCAATGGAGAACCAATGAAATGCAGGGGAAGTAAAAAGACACAGACATAGGCTGACTCAGGACCCTACAGAGGAACATGAGATTGACAGAGGCAACAGCTGACATTCGGAATCTGCTGCCAAGATAAGAACAACGAGGCTGGGCATGGTGGCTCACGCCTATAATCCCAGCACTTTGGGAGGCTGAGGTGGGTGGATCACAAGGTCAGGAGTTCGAGACCAGCCTGACCAACATGGTGAAACCCCGTCTCTACTAAAAATACAAAAATTAACTGGGTGTGGTGGTGCACGCCTATAATCCCAGCCGCTCAGGAGGCTGAGGCAGGAGAATCACTTGAACCCAGGATGCTGAGGTTGCAGTGAGCTGAGATCACGCCACTGCACTCCAGCCTGGGATACAAGAGTGAAACTCTGTCTCAGGAAAAAAAAAAAAAAAAAAAAAGAGGGAGAGAGATTACTTTGTTCACGCACTCAGGAGTGTGTTCTAAAATCCACCTCTTTTTCTCCTAGGAAAATACAAAAAGCCTTCTCTCTCCACCCAGGTGGACCCCATGATGAGGTTGGGACAGAAGCTGAACTTCTTCTGCAGCTCTGAAATCTCATTTGACCGGTACCACTTGTTCAGAGACGGGGTTGCTCATGGACAGTGGCTCAGTGGAGGGCAGAGGCACAGTGGAGCATCCCAGGCCCACTTTTCTGTGGGCCCCGCAACGCCAGTCCCCGGCGGGACCTATAGATGCTATGGTTCTTTCAATGACTCTCCCTATGAGTGGTCAGCCCCCAGTGACCCCCTGCACCTTTGCGTCACAGGTGAGGAGTCCATGCCGGCTGCACGCTCTGGTGCCCACTAGATCACAGAACCACACCTGAGGGGCATCCTGCTGGGGACATGGGGGTATTAGGTATATTGGATAAAATGAGACAGTGAAAAATACAGGAAAAAAGAAGGAAAAAATACAGGAAAAAAAAAACGGATAAAAAATACAGGAAAAAAAAAAACAGAAAAATACAGAAAAAAACGCAGGAAAAAAGAAACTGAGCATGACGGGGCTGTCAGGGTGTAGGGTGGAAGACTGGGCAGCTCCACACCCTCCACCACCTCCTGTGTGAAGAAAGAGGTCGGGACAAACACAGGGGGAGGCGAGGCCAGATGTGGTTCATGGAGATAAGAGGTTGCCTCAGCCTCTCACCCTTTTCCATTTCTCCAAAGCCCCTCCTGACCCCTCACCTCAGGGAGATTTCCCTGCCGGGGAACGTGGATATTTATCATCCTGATGGGAGACAATGTCTGTTGACACCACCAAGCATCTCCTTATCACCTTCCCATCTCAGGGAAGGAATTGCCCCCCAGAGATTCCAAGGAAGAGACCCCAGGACCCCCATTAGTCTTTAGGTGGATGACAGAGTAGGGGGTGTGTAGTGACCAACCCTCCAAAGAAAATGGTTCTACTGCTCGAGAGGCCGAGGCAGGAGAATGGCTTGAACCCGGGAGGCGGAGGGTGCAGTGAGACAAGATGGCACCACTGCACTCCAGCCTGGGCGACACAGCGAGAGTCTGTCTCAAAAAGAAAAGAAAAAGAAAAAGAAAATGATCCTACTTTAATGGGGCAATCAATGACTCTTGCTCACCCCTTCTCTGCCTTTTTTTTTTTTTTTTCCTAGAAAACACTAAGAGTACTCCTCTGTCATTCGTGGAATCCACCCCTGAATCTGGTAAGCAAATGACTCTGCTAGTGTCTGAGTCCCTGCAGAGACAGAAGGCACCTGTGTGAATGAAAGCTGTGCCACCTCCCAGCTCCAGGACCCTGGGCTAGGCAGCCCCTCCCAGGTCCCCAGATTCCCCATCCACATCTGAAACTGTGGTCAGTGCGGGGATCTGTAAGGCTTTTCAGCCTCAGCTCCATGACCCCGGGCTAGGCAGCCCCTCCCAGGTCCCCAGATTCCCCATCCACATCTGACACTGTGGTCAGTGCGGGGATCTGTAAGGCCTTTCAGCCTCAGATGCTTTGGGGCTGAGGCCTCGTCCACAGGGGAGGAAGAGGTCAGAGCGGCCTGACGCCTGCTGAAAAGCAATGCTTCTCATTCCGCCAGGGAGGTCTGTGAACATGAAAATGCTGGAAGACGGGAAGGATTTAAAAGACCATATTAAATATTTATTGTCTATCTTTTTGTTGTTGTTGTTGTTGTTTGAGATGGAGTCTCGCTTTGTCGCCCAGGCTGGAATGCGGTGGCTCAATCTCAGCTCACTGCAACCTCTGCCTCCCGGGTTCAAGCAATTCTCCTGCCTCAACCTCCCGAGTAGCTGGGATTACAGGTGCCTGCCACCACACCCGGCTACTTTCTGTATTTTTGGTAGAGTCAGGGTTTTGCCATGTTGTCCAGGCTGGTCTCGAACTCCTGACCTCAAGTGATCCGTCTGCCTTGGCCTCCCAAGGTGCTAGGATTACAGGCATGAGCCACCGCACCCAGCCTTATTGTCCATCTTCTAATGTCCTACGATCTGAATATTCAACAGATCCTGTGTTCAGGTTATCATACTCCAGTGATGTGTGGCAGGGAGGAGAAAAATTATAATGAATAGACGTGTGAACTGATTTATTCAGATTCATTAATTTTGTATTTGTTAAGATAGAGTCGTGTGACAGAAAGCTTAAGTGGATCCTTTAGAGTGGTGGAAGGGAAGACTCTTTGTCACTCAAGGAAGTGACATTTAAGGTGTGATCCTGATGACAAGGACAGCCAGTGTTGGAAGGATTGATGGAAGGACATTCCCAGCAGGTAGGACAGTGGTGCCATAAACTCAACATGGCAGGGCTGGGCGTGGTGGCTCACACCTGTAATCCCAGCACTTTGGGAGGCTGAGGCGGGCAGATCACAAGGTCAAGAGATTGAGACCATCCTGGTCAACATGGTAAAACCCCGTCTCTACTGAAAATACAAAAATTAGCTGGGCGTGGTGGCGTCTGCCTGTAGTCCCAGCGACTCCGGAGGCTGAGGCAGGAGAATCGCTTGAACCCGGGAGGCGGAGCTTGCAGTGAGCCAAGATCATGCCACTGCACTCCAGCCTGGGTGACAGAACGAGACTCCATCTAAAAAAAAAAAAAAAATCAACATGGCAACGGCTTGTGTGTGTTCACAGCACCAGTGAGGCTGACACGCTGGGGGACGGGGGGTGGAGCTGAAAGAGGTGGACAGGTGCCAACTTATGTGAAGGTTTCTCGTTTTTAAAATGTTTAATGTTTGTGGGTACATAGTAGCTGCGTATATTTATCAGGTGCATGAGATGTTTTGATACAGGCATGAAATGTGAAATACACATATCATAGAGGATAAGGCATCCATTCCCTCAAGCATTTCTCCTTTAAGTTACAAACAATTTAATTATGCCTTTTTTTTTTTTTTTTTAAAGACAGAATCTTGCTCTGTCACCCAGGCTGGAGTGCGGTGGCGCGATCTCGGCTCACTGCAACCTCTGCCTCCTGGGTTCAAGCGATTCTCCTGCCTCAGCCTCCTCAGTAGTTGGGATTAACAGGCGTGCACCACCATGCCTGGCTAAGTTTTTGTATTTTAGTAGAGACAGGATTTCAACATGTTGTCCAGGCTGGTCTCAAACTCCTAAGCTCAGGTGATCTGCCCGCCTTGGCTTCCCAAAGTGTTAGGAATACAGGTGTGAGCCACCATGCCTGGCTCCAATTACGCTTTTTATTTTAAAATGCACAGTAAAGTTCTTATTGACTAGAGTCAGCCTGTTGTGTGCTACCATGTGAGGGTTTCTAAGCAACAGTAAAGACTTTGGATTTTATTCCAACAAAGAGGCGAAGACAAAGGTTTTTTTTGTTTTTTTTTCCGGAGTCTCACTCTGTCTGCAGGCTGGAGTGCACTGGTGCCATCTCAGCTCACTGCAACCTCTGCCTCCTGGGTTCAAGTGATTCTCTTTCCTCAGGCTCCTGAGTAGCTGGGATTACAGGCACCTACAACCACGTCCAGCTAATTTTTGTATTTTTAGTAGAGACAGGGTTTCACCATGTTGACCAGGATGGTTTTGATCTCTTGACCTCGTGATCCACCCGCCTTGGCTTCCCAAAGTGCTGGGATTACAGGTGTGAGCCTCTGTGCCCAGCTCTTTTTTTTTTTTTTTTTTTTTGAGACGGAATCTTGCTTTGTTGCCCAGGCTGGAGTGCAATGGTGTGATCTCAGCTCACCGCAGTCTCTGCCTCCTGGGTTCAAGTGATTCTCCTGCCTCAGTCTCCTGAGTAGCTGGGACTACAGGCACCTGCCACCATGCCCAGCTAATTTTTGTATTTTTAGTAGAGACAGGGTTTCGCCATGTTGACCAGGCTGGTCTCAAACTCCTGACTTCAGGTGATCCACCCGCCGCGGCCTCCCAACATGCTGGGATTACAGGCATGAGCCACAGCACCTGGCCAAAGCATCCAAGTTCTTGGATAGAATATTGGGCCAATGATGCCTCTCTCTTTATGGAAAAAAAAAAAAAAAAAAGTAGGAAAGAGAAGAAAGAAAAGCTTCCCAAGTTGAATGTCTAGAAGTAACAGAGCCATCAATTGAGCCCAAGAGTGTGGCTGGCTACAGTCCTTTCTCTTTCAAGGACTATATCATGGATGAGAGAATGAGGATGAGACATGTCCACACATGTGGAAGTTCTCCCACCCCTCAGCCTGGGTCCTGGTACGGAGGATGTGCTCCTATGTGACATACCCTGTGCCCATTCCCCTTTTTCTCTCCTGAATCCTCCACCTGCCGGCTCTTACTCATTACTCAGAAAAGCACCAACATTCTTTGGAGCAAGTTCAATTCTCAGAAACCGGCATGAGAGTCATCCTCTGGCCACCTCTATCTCCATTCTCAGAAAGTGCATTTGTCCTGGGCTGAGGAGGGATGGGGGAAACAGGGTTCAGCTATGGTACATGCAGAGGGTTTCCTTTGTCATGCAAAAGCAAATTGTCTTGTCTCATGAGGAAGTTGGAGGGGAGGAACACTGGAGCCTGGTAGGCCTGGGTTCAGACCTCCAGGTCTCTCTTTTTTTTTTTTTTTTTTTTTTAGATGGAGTCTTGCTCTGTCACCCAGCCTGGAGTGCAGTGGTGCAATCTTGGCTCACTGCAACCTCCGCCTCCTGGGTTCAAGCGATTCTCCTGCCTCAGCCTTCTGAGTAGCTGGGATCACAGACGCACACCACCATGCCTGGCTAATTTTTGTATTTTTAGTAGAGACGGGGTTTTGCCATGTTGGTCAGGCTGGTGTCGAACTCCTGACCTCAGGTGATCCACCCTTCTCGGCCCTCCCAAAGTGCTGGGATTACAGGTGTGAACCACCATGCCCGGCCTCCACATCTCTTTTACCGGCCCTTTGATTTGGACACGTGTCTTCACTTCTCTTGGAATTTTTTGTAAGTGATGGAAAATGGAGAAAGTAACTGTTTGGGTGTAGGGATCTTGGAAGAGCTTCAGATAAAGCATGTCGTGCGTTCAGTATGTATTGGCACAAAACAGTCAATGAGAGGGTTTATCATTTGCTTCTTAACAGACATACATCTTCCTCAAGGACAGTCCAGCAACAACCTGAATATCCTCATTGGACTCTCAGTAGCCATCATCTCCATTGGCGTGTGCCTCTCTGCTTTTATCGGTTTCAGGTGTTACATAAAATATTGTAAGTCTCAGGGAGGGGAGGACCTTATCATGTGAGCCTCGTGGGGATAGGACCGGGGCACAGAGAGGGCTCTTCACCTCCTGTGGGTTGATCTGTGTTTCCATTGAGGTTCTTGAGGGAGAAACCCTTCTGCTTCCCTTCACTGACCAATCACCGCAACCCCTCCCCTACCTCCACCTCACCTCTAGGGAGGCCACTGACCTGCAGGAGATGGTCCATGAGAGAGGCAGAAGGATGGGGGCCATCGATGGGAGTGGTCCTGGGGCAGTCAAGATTGCCCCGGGGTTGCTGATGGGTAGTTCTCTGAATTTAGTGGGGGAGGCTGCATCACGCTGCAGCCTCAGGCACGCCCTCATCTTGTTTTGGCCTTGGTATTGCCACCTCTGATGTGAAGGTCTGGAAGACTTCCTTTTTCTTTCTTTTCTTTTTTTTTTTTTTTGAGACGGAGTCTCGCTGTGTCTCCCAGGCTGGAGTGCAGTGGCGCGATCTCGGCTCACTGCAAGCTCCGCCTCCCGGGTTCACGCCATTCTCCCGCCTCAGCCTCCCAAGTAGCTGAGACTGCAGGCGCCGGCCACCACGCCCGGCTAGTTTTTTGTATTTTTAGTAGAGACGGGGTTTCACCGTGTTAGCCAGGATGGTCTCGATCTCCTGACCTCGTGATCCGCCCGCCTCGGCCTCCCAAAGTTCTGGGATTACAGGCTTGAGCCACCGCGCCCGGCCAAGACTTCCTTTTTCACCCCACAGACACCACCATGGCAAACACAGAGCCCATGGAAGGCCACCGGATGGATGAAGGGGTGAGTTCTTCCAGTCCAAACCATCGTCACAGCTTCATCCCCTCACATTCCCAGTGCCCTGCCTTCAGTTACTAAATGTGCTCCTCTTTTCACCTTCATCCTCTCAGGGCCCTGCAGCGGAAGAGACGCAGGAGGTGATGTATGCCCAGTTGAACCACCAGACCCTCTCCCAGACAGGACTCACTCCTGCCTCCCCGTGTCCCAAGTACCTCTCGGAGGATCCCAGTATCTACGTCACCGTCCACCAAGCCCAGGCTGAGGCCAGAGCTGCCCCCGGTCTTTGCCACAGAGGTCATTAATACGCAAGGACCTGGATCTATTCCCAGGAGGATTGTTCTCCACGGACATTCTTCCTCCCTCTGGTACCATCTTGACACCTCCGAGCTGGCAACAGCAGTGTCTGAATGCTTGCGGGATTATCTTAAATTCCAGCACAGCTGAGCAGACAACTAGCCATTCTACGATCCTATTTTGAGCTTCCAGCCATTTAAGGTGTTTTGACTACACCCACACACTCATCCTGGATATCTCATTAATATCATCTGACTTATTCTGAAATTCTACAGACCTGCTTCTGGAAAACCGACGTATACGCTCAGCCAGTTTAAATTCCTCAATAAGGTTTTTGTTTTTCTTTTTTTTAAATTTTTAAAAAGGTTCTGGGGTCCGTGTGCAGGAGGTGCAGGTTTGTTTCATAGGTAAACGTGTGCCATGGTGGTTTGCTGCATCTATCAATCCCTCACCTAGCTATTAAGCCCAGCAGGCATTCTCTTTTCCCTAATGCTCTCCGTACCCCCTGCCCTCCTCTGACAGGCCCCAGTGAGTGTGTTCCCCTCCCTGTGTCCATGTGTTCTCATTGTTCAGCTCCCACTTATAAGCGAAAACACGCGGTGTCTGGTTTTCTGTTCCTGCATTAGTTTGCTGCGGATAATGTCTTCCAGCTTCATCCATGCCTCTGCAAATGATATGATCTCATTCCTTTTAATGACTGCATAGTATTCTATGGTGTATATGTACCACCTTTTCTTTTTTTTTTTTGAGACGGAGTCTCGCTCTGTCGCCCAGGCTGGAGTGCAGTGGCGAGATCTCGGCTCACTGCAAGCTCCGCCTACCGGGTTCACGCCATTCTCCTGCCTCAGCCTCCCGAGTAGCTGGGACTACAGGCGCCCACAACCACGCCCGGCTAATTTTTTGTATTTTTAGTAGAGACGGGGTTTCACCGTGGTCTCGATCTCCTGACCTTGTGATCCGCCCGCCTCGGCCTCCCAAAGCGCTGGGATTACAGGCGTGAGCCACCGCGCCCGGCCTCACCTTTTCTTTATCCTATCTATCATTGATGGGCATTTGGGTTGATTCTATATCTTTGCGATTACTCAATAACATGTTGCAGAGATGAAGTGTATTCAGTATCTGAGTCACCTAATATGGTGAAGTTTTTGAATACTTCAAATTCTTGACAAGCATTGGACGTGTTTAAATTTGACAATACTTGAAGTTTTTGAGTACTTCAGATTCTTGACAAGCATTTGACGTGTTTAAATTTGAGATAACCAAAAAATTAACAGTTCTCTTAAAACTCCCATGTTGTACACTTATTTATTTATTTTACTTTGAGTTCTGGGATACATGTGCAGAACGTGCAGGTTTGATACATAGGTATACTAGCCAAATATGGCTTTTTAACTTAGAATAGATCAAATTCCATGAAGTTTAAAATTCAGTTCCTCAGCCACATGGCCACCGTTTGAGTTCTCAGAGCCACGTGTGGCTGCTGGCTGTCGGAGAGAACAGCATGAATACACATGTTTTCCTTGTCAGAGGAAGTTCTAGCTGTTCTAGATTATAGCTGTTCTAGATTATAGCTGTTCTAGATTATAGCTGTTCTAGATTATAGCTGTTCTAGATTAAAGGCGCAAATTTGAAGATGCAGAGGCTGTTTTCTCACGCAGTGCAGGCTCCTGGAAGGGACCTAATGTAACAAAACGATAATATTTAACAGTGGTGAGATGTCTTTATCTCACGGAACGTGGGGAACGAGCAGGATTCTCTCATGGAGGGTCTTATCACCTCTTATCCTCATGCAAATTTCTGCCACAGAGATTTTCTCCCAAACTCTGAGAAGGTCACCTCTGTCGGGCCTCTGAGCCCAAGCTAAGCCATCATATCCCCTGTGACCTGCACGTGTACATCCAGATGGCCTGAAGCAACTGAAGAGCCACAGAAGACGTGAAAATAGCCTTAACTGACGACGTTCTACCATTGTGATTTGTTCCTGCCCCACCCTAACTGATAGGATATATCCTGCCCCACTCTTAGGAAGGTACTTTGTAATATTCTCCCGGTCCTTGAGAAGGTACTTCGTACGCCCATCTCAAACCTATAAGAACTAATGATAATCCCACCCTCCTTTGCTGACTCTCTTTTCGGACTCAGCCCGCCCGCATCCAGGTGAACTAAACAGCCCTGTTGCTCACACAGAGCCTGCTGGTGGTCTGTTCACACGGATGCTCACGCCAACCTCCTATGTGCACCTTTTCTTGTCCCCTGATTTCACATGGAGAGAAAGCACACATCTATTCTCTGCACAGAACACGCTCTGGAAGCTGCTTTCTGATGACCTCGGAGCCTTTATTCTGTTTCTTTCTACTTGAATTGGCACCTACCCGGAGCAATTTGCAAACTGCTGCCTGCAACGAGCTGTCGTTAGCTCGTGGAATTGTCATGTGCTGTTTCTTCACCTGGTAATTTTCTCCATTTCTTGAGCATCTCAGTGCAGACATCCACCTTCATACACACGTCTTTATCGCACAGGAGAAGTGAGGAGGTTGATTGACTCACGGTGTCTGTGACCAATAGGCTGGGTTTTTATTGCCTGATCCTCACTGGTCTTTCATGTGTGGACTGTGAGGTTTTTGTTGTTGTTGTTGTTTTGTTGGAGTTTCACCATGTTGTCCTGGTCTCAAACTCCTGAGTTCAGGTGATCCGCCCGCCTCGGCCTCCCAAAGTGTTAGGAGTACAGGTGTGAGCCACCGTGCCTGGCCCCAATTACGCTTTTTTATTTTAAAATGTACAGTAAAGTTCTTATTGGCTAGAGTCAGCCTGTTGTGCTACCTACCATGTGAGGGGTTCTAAGCAACAGTAAAGCGTTTGGATTTAACCTCAGTAGTGAGATGTCTTTACCTTACAAAACGCAGGGAACAAGCCAAACACCGCACCCGGCCTGCCTGCACTTACTCTCCCGGTTTGTCCATTTTCCATGTTCCTTTACACTTGCTTTCGATTTTATGTTTACTGTATTTACTTTTAGTTTTTGAATACTTCAAATTCTTGACAAGCATTTGACAGGTTTAAATTTGAGATAACCAAAAAATTAGTAGTTCTCTCAAAACTCCGACAAAGAGGTGAAGACAAAGGGTTTTTTTTGTTTGTTTGTTTTGTTTTTTGTTTCTGTTTTTGTTTTTTTGACGGAGTCTCACTCTGTCTCCAGGCTGGAGTGCAGTGGCGTGACCTCAGCTCACTGCAACCTCCGCCTCCCAGGTTCAAGAGATTCTCTTGCCTCAGCCTCCCGAGTAGCTGGGACTACAGGTGCGTGCCACCACGCCTGGCTAATTTTTGCATTTTTAGTAGAGATGGGGTTTCACCATGTTGGCCAGGATGGGACTGTGAGCTTTTTGAGGCAGAACTGAGTCTGATTAACCTCTGGGACTCAAGCAATCCTCCAAGGATCCTGCCCATAGGAGGTATCAGCAACTCAGGTCTGGTGAGGGATGAGGACACTCAACCCTTCCAGGGAGCAGAGCATGGAGCAAACATCAGAGATCCTCTAATGTTACCCAGAAATAGTTTCTCTGTCTCCCTGGGCCAAAGGGAGGATCATGCTTCCTCCACTGTCTGGGATATGTGGGCTAAGAGACAAATGCTGGTTAGTGGATGTGAGGGTGAATGGCAGGCACACTCCCAGCCTGGCTATTTGCATGATGGCCCTACACTTACTATTGCATATTCTACAGCTAGGTTGGTCCTGCAGCAATCTCATTTTGATATGCTGGGTAAAAGTAAAAGACCAAAACCTGTCTTCTCTCTGAGCCTCTGCACACGGGACGGTTATGCCGCAGAGTCAACTGATGCTAAAGGGAAACTATGCAAGCCAGAAATGAATTTAATTTTGCTTCCACGATGTAAACCATCCTCTCAAAAATAACAGAAAGCGAGTGGTATAAACATATATATATTTTTTCGGAGTCTCTCTTGGTGGCCCAGGCTGGAGTACAGGGACATGATCTCAGCTCACTGCAACCTCCACCTCCTGGGTGCAAATGATTCTCCTGCCTCAGCTTCCCAAGTAACTGAGATTACAGGCACCCATCACCACACCTGGCTACTCTTTGTATTTTTAGTAGAGACGAGATTTCACCATGTTGGCCAGGCTGGTCTCGAACTCCTGACCTCAGGTGATCAACCCACCTCGGCCTCACAAAGTGCTGGGATTACAGGCATGAGCCACCAAGCCCTGGTCAAAAGTGAGCATTTTTAAAAGTGATTTACAACCAATGATAAATGGGACCTGATTAGATAATTCAAGTATTCTATGTTCCTACACTTCATAGTTAGTGTGGCTTCAACATTTATCTGGTGGAAAAATGAATCAACCAACTTTCTATGCATAAGAGGGTTTTGCTCTTCATTTTCCTTTCTATCAAGAAACTTTACGTGCCCTGAGAAATTATAAATTTCATAATTATTTGGGACGAGAATTGTTCGAACATTTTTTGTGGGGTGGGGGGATGGAGTTTCGCTCTTGTTGCCCAGGCTGGAGTGCAATGGCACTATCTTAGTTCACTGCAACCTCCGCCTCCTGGGTTCAAGTGATTCTCCCGCCTCAGCCTCCTGAGTGTCTGGGATTACAGGTGTGTATCACCATGCCCGGCTAATTTTTGTATTTTTACTAGATAGGGGGTTTCACACTGTTGGCCAGGCTGGTCTTGAACTCCTGACCTCGTGATTTGCCCGCCTCGGCCTCCCAAAGTGCTGGGATTACAGGCGTGAGCCACCGTGCCCAGCCTGTTTGCACTTACTCTCCCGGTTTGTCCATTTTTCCGTGTTCCTTTATACTTCCTTTTGATTTTATGTTTACTGTCTTTACTTTTAGTTTTTGAATACTTCAAATTCTTGACAAACATTTGACAGGTTTAAATTTGAGATAACCAAAAAATTAATAGTTCTCTCAAAACTCCCATGTCGTACTCTTATTTATTTATTTTACGTTAAGGTCTGGGCTACATGTGCAGAACGTACAGGTTTGT